TCGGTATATTGACAGTGGTTGTAGTAACCACATGACCGCGAACCGGTCACTGTTGATAGACTTAGACACATCCTATCTTGGTAGTGTAAAGATGGAAAATGGGAATATTGTAAAATCTGAAGGAAAGGGTATCTTGGCTGTAAATACAAAAAAAAAGGAAAAAGATACATCAAGGATGTAATGCTTGTACCGGGTCTAGAGGAAAATCTGTTAAGTTTAGGTCAAATGCTCCTTAACGGTTATTTTCTAGTTTTTGGTGATCAAGCAGTGAAGATCTATGATGATAGGAGTTTTAACAACTTGGTGGCCAAAGTCAAGATGCAACCCAACAGAAGTTTTCCTCTCTCACTGCACTACTGGAACACTCAAGCTCTAAAGGTCGAAGAGGTGAACTCCTCCTGGCTATGGCACAAGAGGCTCGGACATCTCAACTTTCAAAGCCTCAAGACTCTTCAAAGCAGAGAAACGGTGTATGGCCTCCCAACCATTGAAGAAATTGAAGGTGTCTGCTCCAGTTGCATGAAAGGCAAGCAGCATCGAGGCGAGTTTCCAAAGGAAGGAGCATGGAGGGCAACAAAGCCTTTGGAGTTGATCCATACAGACCTATGTGGTCCAATGAAGACGGAGTCCCTGGCCGACAACAAATATTTTATCACTTTTATTGATGACTTTAGCAGGATGGCCTGGGTCTACTTTTTGAGGCTCAAATCAAAAGCTTTCACCGTCTTCCAAAAGTTCAAAGCAATGGTGGAAAGACAAACAGACCTGGAGATCAAGAAGATTCGAAGTGATCAGGGTGGAGAACACACTTCAGCAGAGTTCGAGGACTACTGCAGCAACCTTGGCATCGAGAAGCAAATCACATGTCCATACACTCCTCAACAGAATGTAGTGGCAAAAAGGAAGAACCGGACTATCGTGGAGATGGCCAAGAGTCTCCTACATGAGAAGAACCTTCCCTACAAGTTCTGGGGAGAAGCAGTCAACACCGCAGTGTACCTTCTCAACCGGTGTCCAACAAGAGCATTGGAGGACAAAACCCCCTTCGAAGCATTCTCAAGTAGAAAACCTTCCTTAAACCACCTTAAGGTTTTCGGTTGTGTTTGTTTTGCTCACATCCCAGGCCAGTTGAAATCCAAACTGGAGGAGAACACAAGAAGGTGTATCTTTATAGGATACGCAAGTCATACGAAGGGCTACAGGCTCTTCAACCCGAAGACTCAAAAGATCGTCATCTCACGGGATGTGGTTTTTGACGAATCAGCCAAGTGGAATTGGGATCTCAAGAAGGAGGAGCAGGTGCCCACAAACTACATCTACCTAGATTCAGAAAGCACCCAAGATCCAGATCCAGATCCAGAGCCAGAAGTGCAAACTCCACAAAACGGTTCGAGTTCAACAAGCTCCGACTCAACCACACCCAGATCAAGTGCTAACTCCTCAAGCACACCATCCAACTCTAGTCCCAGTTCTTCTTCCTCCTCAAGCACAACTCCATTAAGATACAGAAATCTTAATGAGATTTACACTTCATGTAATTTTTGCATATTGGAGCCTGAGTCATTTGAAGAAGTCATCAAAGAAGAAGATTGGAAGAAAGCCATGCAGGAGGAGATCTCAATGATAGAGAAAAATGACACCTGGGAGCTGGTAGAGAAACCTGCAACCAAGCCAATCATCAGCGTCAAGTGGGTCTATAAGACTAAACTGAACCTTGACGGGTCCATCTACAAGAAGAAGTCTACATCCATCAACCGTAAGGGTTCGAAGTTGCAGGAGCCGAGGATAAAGTCTACAAGCTCCACAAGGCGCTGTACGGTCTCAAGCAAGCACCAAGGGCGTGGTATGAAGAGGTCAACTCCTACTTCACCCAATACAACTTCAAAAGGAGCCTTAGTGAAGCCACACTTCATCAGGGACGCGATCGTGGACAAGGAGATGGAGGTCATCTACTGCAAAACTGAAGATCAAGCTGCAGACATTCTCACCAAAGTGTTGCCGAATGATCGCTTTTGCACACTTCGAGAACTAATGGGTGTTAAACCTGCTAACCCCTGAGGAGGAGTGTTGAACTAATCAATGTTTAGCATGTTAAACAACCTAAGAGCCATAGTGTGATATCCTAGGTGGAAGGGAATCCTAAGAGTCAAAGTATAATAAGTGGGGTGGTATTCTAAGAGATGACTCCTTGTATTCTATGCAAGTAAATGTATAGAGTTAATGTATGGAATATGAAGGGTCATGTATAAGTCTATATAAACCCATGAGTAAGAGAATTTGATATATGAAAAAAAAAGAAAACATAAGCACCAAATTCTCTATCATACTAGCCTTAGCCAAAGTTTTTCTTCACTACATACTCAGTTCAGAATTACAACATTGTCATCATTCGTTCAATAATTAATTAACCCACGAGAAACTCAAGAAACAAATTTCTTTTCCCCTGTTCATTAATTCTAGGAAGCTTCCCAGCCTCTTGTGTATAATTCTATGCAGGTACGTACTCTCCTACTTAAATCTGAGTTCCCCATGAGAGCTCCATATTGAAGAGATGCAGGGGGCTGACCAAAGAAAAATGTTATGATGAGGAGACCCCCAGGGAGACTACTAGGAGACGATGATCCAATTGAAGATATCCAAGATAGCCTCGAGTCTCTAGTTGAGGCTTTCTTCGCTCTGCTTCGGCTCTTAGCAAGATTCCTTGGCCTTTTACCTGACAAAAACCACGATGACGACGACGACGACGGCGATAAGAGCAGCCATACTAAATGGATGCATTTAGGCTTGACTCTTCTTCTTCCCCTGATTCTTGCCCTTCTCTATCGCTACTTTCACAATCGGTTCAATAAAGATCATAACAAGGAGGATGACCGAGAGATCGAGCCGTCGTCACCATCATCGCCGTCGTCTTCGTCCGAGAGTTCTCCCGAAGAGAATTCCAGTTGGTTTACGAAATACAGCGTGCGCCTTAAGTTACGATCCTAAGAATATATCTTGTAGTGATTTTCCTTTTTAGTTATGGTGAAGTCATCAGATGTTTGTAATATAATCGCTGGCTATGTTTTAGTCCCACATCGGCTGCTCCACGAGCTGTAATCTTGGTTGTGGCGATATAAGGGCGCGTTTGGTTGCCTTCTTTAGAGGGGGGAAATAGGTTGAAAGCCAGTCAAAACTGACACTTTTGGCAGGCTTAACTTCCCCTTATGCAAACAAACAGCCCCTAGCATTTTTTTGGGCTTCGATGTAAATTAAGCACGCCCTTCGCGCGTTTATGTAATTGCTCTCTCAAATGGTTTCCGTTGCTACTTGTAGTTGGTGAGTAGCATGGGGGCATCTTTGCTCTTGCACGCATTTATATTTTAATGGCAATTTTAATGATTTGGGGACTAATCTTCAAATATTAAAGATTTAAGAGACTAATATTGATAAAAAAAAATTTTTTTTGCGCGAAATAGCAAAGAGGAAGCTTGAAGGATAAGGATTGAAGTGCACATGTAGTACGTGTACCCCAAAGTTAATTATGTATTTCAAGTTATGACTAATTGTGAGGGGTATAGCTACCTGATTTAGGGTACATAGCTATATGCCCTATTGTACGTAGCTATATATGGTCTGCATTCTAAACTATAGGTTTGAAATAGAGTGGGCATAGTTTGAGTATGGCCATTTTTTGCAATTTTATGACTAAAATCAAACTCTTTGTATTTTAATTAGCAAAATCGATCTTTTTATGATCGTGTCATTATGGCTGGACACAAAAAGATCGATTTTGCAAAATATAATGTTTAAAATACAAGGGACTACTAGTCCCGTGTATTTAACAATCACTGATCACTTGTCTATTTTCTTATTAAAACAGTAAGAGTTCGATTTTGCTCATAAAATTGCAAAAAAAAAGTCTTTTTAAAAAAATCACCATTGAGAAACAGTGGAAGGGAACAAATACTTTCCATAATTAATGTGAAAGTATCATGTGAAGACTATCCTTAGCATTAATTAAATTGTGTTAATAGCATAATAATAATAGTTTGTTTTTTGGGAAAAATGTGTCCAGGCCCCAAAAACATAAACTTCATGTGCTGCAGCCCCTTCTAGTTTCCCCCATGTGGTTCAGCCCCTTGAAGTGTGACGTTTTGTGCTGCAGCCCCTTTTTAACAATTATTACATGCCAACTAAGCTAAAATCCCCAAAATAACCTTACCCCCTCTCCTCAATCCTTCAAACCCTATTCTGTCTACAGTTCTATTCTGTCTACAATGTTAGTTCTATTCTGTCTACAGTGTTAGTTCTAATCTGCACAATGTTAGTTCTATTCTGTCCCCTTCATTTTTACTTTTCTTGAGCATCATGCACTCTTTTCTCTTGGTCATCCTCCTCCGGCCTACCATACTATGGGTTCAAAAGTGGCCAGCACAGCGACGAACTCCGGCGTAGTCGAGGGCGAGATGGGGAGCGACGGCGAGCTACCGCGACGAGGTCGGGCGGAGGAGAGGAGGGGAGGCGGCGACGAACTCGGGGGAGGCTTGGGAGCCTGGGCGGAGGTGGTGACGGCGAGGAGGGCGAGGGCCAGAACGACGAGCTTGATAAAACCCTTGTTTTTAAAGAGAGAGAGGGGAGAGAGAGGGGGGAGAGAGAGAGAGAAGAGAGAGAGAGAGAACTGGGTTTGAAGGATTGAGGAGAGGGGGTAAGGTTATTTTGGGGATTTTAGCTTAGTTGGCATGTAATAATTGTTAAAAAGGGGCTGTAGCACAAAACGTCACACTTCAAGGGGCTGAACCACATGGGTAAAACTAGAAGGGGCTGCAGCACATGAAGTTTATGTTTTTGGGGTCTGGACACATTTTTCCCTTGTTTTTTTTACATTTTGCAAAAAGACAGACATCCTGGCTCAGAGAGGAGAGTACCCCGTCATTTATATAATTCGGGCCGTGCCAACTGTACCAACAACTGAACCTTTTGTTGGGTGAGTGGGGGTGGGTGGGTCCCACATTTTGGATTGCTGGGGGAGGTGCGAGCGAGAGTAACGCAACGGGGTTTTTGTTTGTTTGTGTTATCGGAGCTCCGGTAAGGAGGAGGAAGGAGGAGGAATGGGCGGTCGGAGGGCGGGGGAACTTCGGCGCCCGGCGAGGAGGAGGCGATCGGGTCGGATCTGCTGGGTGCTAGGGTTCTTCATCCTCGCCCTCTTCCTTCTCTTCATCGTTCAATTTCACGGAGATCCCTCTCTAATTCCCCTCCAGGTTCTTCTTCTTCTTCTTCTTTTTTAATAGATACATGTTGTCGTCCTCTGACGTTAAATATCCCATGTTGTCAGAAATATCATCTTTCCATCTTCTTTTAGGGTTTTTTTTTTTAATAATAAATTGCTATTCCTTGTGTTTAAATTGCTATTCCTTTTAGGGGGTTATTTATTTATATTTATTAAATAAGTGCATTAATCATTTAGTTCTTTTAGTTCTCTGAGCACCCGCGTCCTACTCTCCTGGCCTCATTATTATTAAATAAGTGCATTAATCATTAATCATTCATTTAATTACTTTTCCCGTTAATTTTTTAAACAAGTTTTGATGTCAGGCTGGCTGTGGGGTGGTAACGTTAAGTCGGTAGCTTTCGTATGGAGCTTTTTCACTTCGTAGAACCCTTACCTTACATGCTTGTTGGGGGAGATCCAATACCAAATCGCCGAGAGAGAAAGCCAAACACACCAACTCAATTAGCACAAATAATCAACATCAGTTTTAACGTGGTTCGACGAGATGCCTACGTCCACGGGGGCAAGGAAAGAGAAGTTTTCACTATTAGAAATCAAGGGGATACAACTAGGGTTACAAATCTCACAAAAAACCCTCTTCAAATCACACTTGATCTCTCCAAATGCTCCTACAATAGAAGCCCAACAAAACCCCTCTATTTCAGCTCAAAACCCTTGCACTCAAACCCTAGAAACACCCATTAGGTATTTATAACAATCCAAAACGAAACGGGTCTGGAACCCAGATTCAGCCCAAACCGCTTCGACGGTCGATCGTGGCGGGCGGACCCGTAGGTATCGCGGTCGACCGCGTAGGCATCGCGGTCGACCGCCACGGTCGACCGCACAGAATTTGGTTTGGTCGGTGTCGGCTCAGTTTTGAGAAAGCTTCGCCGAGGTGGAGAATTGTTGGCGGTATGCTTGTGGGGGCCACAAGCTTTGGAGAATTGCAAAGTGCAGCGGCTAAAGAGTTGTTCACGAACCCATGTGCTCTTGGATTCCGCGTGAAAGGCTGAGACAAGTGGGAAACCGCGTGGATTGGAAACCATGTGGGATGCTTTTGTCCAGTGGCGAAAAGAAGGCCCACCCGAAGACACAATAGATGTTTATATAAACCCTTTCCTAGGGTTTTGTGCTCTTTGAGCGAAGGCAGGGAAAAGGTGAGGAACTCTGATTTTTTTTGGCGGCTGCGAATTAATTCTCAGGAAGGGAGAAAAGGAACTGCAGGCGGCTGTTTAGTGTTCGTGCACGGAGCAGGTGCAGTCTGTTTTTTCTTTCTTGGGCAGCGTGCAGAGCCGATTTGAGAGAGTTTTTTTTGTGCTTGTGAGAGAGATATTTGTGTGAGGAAGAGAGATTGTTTGAGGGTTTAGATTGAGTGATTGTAAACCCTAGTTGTATTCTCCTCCTCTAATAGTAGATCTCCTCCTCCTTGCCCCGTGGACGTAGGCAGTTTGCCGAACCACGTAAAATTGATTGTTTGAGTTTGTGCCATTGTAATAGTTTTTAGGATCCCTCGACGCGCAGTCCTAGAGCTGACGAGAGGAAGAGCAAATATCCCACTTTGATGGGATATTAGGCTTTCAGATTCTTGTTCCCTTTGAGAAACAAGAATTCTTATCGATCTTTCTCTCTTATTGTGCACCAGAAACTCTGTCGAAATTTCCGCTGCGCACAACAAGTGGTATCAGAGCCCAGATTCCAGATCTAGGGTTTGGTTTGAGGAGTAGATCAATTTGGAGGCTCGTTTAGGGCTTCGTTGGTGATAAAGGTGGGATCTTTTGGTAAAGACTCTATCTTTCAGTTTTGGATCTATTCTTTGTTCGTTGGTGCGTAAGATGTCGGGGAAAGAAGGTGCTTCGGGAGTCGAGGGTGGTTCTTCTGGCGTGAAGACTATTCAGAGTTTGAATATCCACTCTATGAAGATAGATGTGGAGAAATTTAATGGCACAAACAACTTTGGATTATGGAGATGCGAGGTTTTGGATGCGCTGAACGCGCAGAATTTGGAGGATACCTTGGAGTTAGATGGCAAGCCAGATGAGATTGAAGAGAAGGTTTGGAAAAAGATGAATCGAACGGCGTGTGGTGTGATTAGGTCTTGTTTGACTCAAGATCTAAAATATGATGTGATGAATGAGACTTCTGCGAAGAAGATTTGGGAGATTCTCGAAAGCAAGTATTTGACCAAGAGTGTGGAAAATCGCTTGCATTTGAAGAGGAGACTTTATCGTTTCCAGTTGAAGAAGGGAACCTCCATTAGAGATCACATGAACCACTACACAAAGCTTCTTGCGGATTTGGCGAATGTGGATGTCAAGATTGAAGATGAGGACAAGGCGTTGCTGTTGTTGAGTTCCTTGCCCGACGAGGAATATGAGACCTTCGTTCTTACTCTGATTAATGGGAAGGCATCACTTTCGTATAGTGAGGTCACTGCTGCATTGGTGAATTATCAGCTTCGGAAGAAGGATAAGGAGAATTCGACTGAGTCGGTAGCAGAGGCGTTGGTCGCAAGAGGGAAGAATCCGAACCGAAAGAATTAGAAGTCACAGTCTAGAGTAGGAAAAGATCAGTGTGCTTGGTGCAAGGAGACTGGTCATTGGAAGAAAGACTGCCCAAAGCTCGACGAATGGATGAAGAATAAGCAGAAGGGGAAAGGGAAGCAGCCATCATCAGAAGCAAATATCGTATCGGATGGTAATAATTCTGACTCTTCTATTTATTCGCTTTCTATCAGTCCTACAGATAGCTATTCGGAGGAATCTGAATGGATGTTGGATAGTGGTGCGACCTATCATGTGTGCCCTAGAAGGGAATGGTTCTCCAGTTTTGAGAAGCTGGTGGATAGTGGTGTGGTGTACATGGCTGATAACCGTGCATGCCAGATCCTTGGGATAGGAAGAATTCGCATAAAGATGTTTGACGGGACTGTTAGAGAGTTAAACGATGTGAGATATGTTCCTTCTTTGAGGAAGAACTTGATCTCGATTGGAGCTTTGGTTGGAGAGGGTCTGAAGGTTCGTGTTGAGGACATGGTTCTCGAGATTGCGAGAGACTCTCGTATTTTGATGAAGGGCGTCAGGAGGAATAACCTGTATTACTTGACTGGAGGTATAGTGGCAGGTGGAGAGCTGGCGACTTCTATTGATTTGACTAGACTGCGGCATTTGGGGCTTGACCATTCCAGTATTGATTCCTCGCATAGATTGGAAGAGGGTGCGAAGACCTGCAGTTTGAAGTCCAGTGAACATGTTGATGTGAGCAAGAAGACCGAGGTGAAGTGTGGCACCTCTATTCACCGTGCTAAGGGTCGTTCTGGAGGAGTTCACGTGGATGTTTGGGGGCCTTCCAAGGGGGCATCATTGGGAGGTAATAGGCGTTTGGTTTCCTTTGTTGGTGGCTGTTCTAGGCGTGTTTGGGTTGCAACCAAATCCCCATTGGAGAAAGTCCTAGTAGTCTCTAACAGATTGAAGAAGTGTGTAATAGACAGAAGGTGAAGGTACTCCATTCTGGTGGGAGGTACAAGATGGACCTGTTTCTGTGTTGGAGCCGAGCTCACGGCATTTCGAGACACTTCGTTGGAAAGGAAATCTTGGGGCAGCTAGATAGGGTGACAAATTTGGAGAACCGTGCCTTTCTGGAGGAGGATCGGTGTTTGTGGTCGAGCAATGGTTTGCAGAAGAGTTTTTGGACAGAGGCTTCGACATATTTGGGTCATCCTATTAAAGAGTTGTCAACTGCTGTGATTGGAGGTAAAACTCCATTGGAAGATAGGTCTGGTAGTGTCACTTTGGTTGAGGCTTCGATGAGGAAGTCAATTGACTCTCAGCAGGTGAAGAGTTTTGGACAGACCTTAGAGGTATCGCAGCGGGTGGAGAGTGATGCTACTCCACATTGGGTAAAGATTACTCCAGATCATTCTGCATTGGTTGGGATTCCAGCTGAGGTGAAACAGCGTGGAAGTCATTTGGATTCGGATGCAGATGATGAGTTGGGTTTTGATTCGAGTGCAGCTGATAGATGTAGCTTGCTCAGGTGGAGATGTTTGGATTGTTTCAGTTTGGGGTCATTGGAGGTGCTATCAGCCGCAGACTTGATCGTGATATTAGAGAAGGGTTGCGAACTCTTCTATTGGATTAAGGTCGTTCGCGGCCATTTGGGTGAACTACATTCGGCTTGATTCCTTGGGCAAGAGGATACGTAGGCAGTCTTTCAGATGCAGCCGGGTTGGATTTTGATGGGGTGAGATTAATTTGGTGAGTTGATACTGACATTTGGAGAGTGTTTGCATTCTCATTTGGGTTCTCGACTTGTTATGGATTGAGTCTGTTGTCGTGAATTGTTTCACGGTGTACTGGACACAACAAGTGAGACATTTGGTTTGGTCGGTGTCGGCTCAGTTTTGAGAAAGCTTCGCCGAGGTGGAGAATTGTTGGCGGTATGCTTGTGGGGGCCACAAGCTTTGGAGAATTGCAAAGTCCAGCGGCTAAAGAGTTGTTCACGAACCCATGTGCTCTTGGATTCCGCGTGAAAGGCTGAGACGAGTAGGAAACCGCGTGGATTGGAAACCGTGTGGGATGCTTTTGTCCAGTGGCGAAAAGAAGGCCCACCCGAAGACACAACAGATGTTTATATAAACCCTTTCCTAGGGTTTTGTGCTCTTTGAGCGAAGGCAGGGGAAAGGTGAGGAACTCTGATTTTTTTTGGCGGCTGCGAATTAATTCTCAGACGTGGGCGTGCCAAGCAGAGAAGAAACAAAGGATTGTGTGTGCAGTTTGTTTTTCTTTCTTGGGTAGCGTGCAGAGCCGATTTGAGAGAGTTTTTTTTGTGCTTGTGAGAGAGATATTTGTGTGAGGAAGAGAGATTGTTTGAGGGTTTAGATTGAGTGATTGTAAATCCTAGTTGTATTCTCCTCCTCTAATAGTAGATCTCCCCCTCCTTGCCCCGTGGACGTAGGCAGTTTGCCGAACCACGTAAAATTGGTTGTTTGAGTTTGTGGTCATTGTAATAGTTTTTAGGATCCCTCGACAGGTCAGTCCTAGAACTGATGAGAGGAAGAGCCGATATCTCACTTTGTTGAGATATCCGCTTCAGATTCTTGTTTCCTTGGTGAGACGAGAATTCTTATTGATCTTTCTCTCTTATTGTGCACCAGAAACTCTGCCGAAATTTCCGCTGCGCACAACACAGTGAGGCCCCGTGCACGAATGCGGTCGACCACCACGATCTCGTGGTCGACCGCCGACCATCCAAAACGTTCCCCCAGGCTCCATCAACTGTTCTGCCAGTCCTACATGCGGGTGTTTGCTTGCCAAAATGATATGGGTATGCTTGATTACCTTCAGAACAGGGTACTTGCAGATGTGCGTGCCTCTTATACTACGAGGACACACGTTCTTGTTTTATTAGCACATATGCTCCTGCCCGATCGCGACATATTCTTCCCATTAATTTCAATCTCGCATGACCATCATGTGCTAGTTGAAGTTAAGACATTTCTAGGAACAAATCCAATGAGATCCCCATGTGGGTTTAAAAAACTAGCGCGGATATAACATCATCACAGGAACCAGGGGTGTATGTGTTAATGAAATAGAGAAAGTGATTAGTAGCTGCACGCCCATAGCACGGGGGTTAAATCTGCAAACAACCCTTAAAAAATTTATATATGTAGAAGAGAGTTGGGAAACAGAATAGGAATAAAATTAAGTATATAATTACATCTTTGACACATTGCTTAGTTGTACATACCAACTGTCCCTGTGGCTATCCATGAGCTGATTACCTTAAATCTACTCCCTAGACAGTATCCCATTTGCTTTTTCTTCTGTTTCTCTGATATTGTTCCGATAATCTGCTTCAACAGCAAGCAGCATCACACCCTTCAGGATATCAGCTTGTTAATGTATAGGAGTTGTACACAGTTCAACCTTCTAGTTTACTACACATGTAACAGTCGTGGACCTGCAACCGCGAAATCTTTTTAATTATCAACAATTTGCTCCTCTCGCATTGCGTATACGCATATTCTGAATTGCTTCATCTTTCTAATTTTTGTACATCCACAGGAGATAGAGCTTGAGGACCTCACTCGTGAAAGTCTAAATTTTACGCTAGAACTGCTGAGCACTACTTCAACCGCAAGACAAATGATCGACCAGGTATCCCTGGCAAAGGCTTACATAATCATAGCTAAAGAGCACGGGAACCTCAATCTAGCCTGGGAGCTCAGCTCCTTTGTGAGAAACTCCCAAGGGCTTCTCTCTGAGTCCATCACAACATCTAAACCCGTCAACTCAGAAGAAGCTCTCCCTATAATTAGCCAACTATCTAGGCTAATCCATAAAGCCCAAGGCTTGCACTATGATATCAGCACCACAATCACGACACTTAAGAAACATGTAAAGGCCCTTGAAGAGCGTGCAGTTGCAGCTGTAGTACAAAGTGCAGAACTTGGTCGGTTGGCTACTGAAACTATGCCTAAAGAGGTTCACTGCATGACTCTTAGGCTGACTGAGGACTGGTTTGAAAATGAGTTGCTTGAAAAGATGGCAAAAGAGAAAAAAAACTCCCAGCGTCTTGTCGACAACAATCTCTATCATTTCTGCGTCTTCTCAGATAACGTGATGTCGACTTCAGTTCTAGTGAACTCCACCGTCTCAAATGCTGAACACCCTCAGCAGCTTGTATTTCATATTGTTACTGATGAAGTCAATTATAGAGCCATGACGGCTTGGTTTCTTAAGAATGAGTTTAAAGGGTGCACAATAGATGTCACAAAGATTGAAGACCTAATTTGGTTGAAGGCTTCTTACTCTCCATTGGTGAAGCAACTATCAGAAGCAAGAGAATCGAAATATATGAGCCCGAAATCTATAGTGTTGCTAAATCACTTGCGCTTCTATCTACCAGAAATGCATCCCTCTTTAGAGAAGGTGGTGTTTCTCGAGGATGACGTTGTGGTGCAAAAGGACATAACATCATTGTTCACCTTAGATATGCATGGGAATGTGATTGGAGCTGTGGAGACTTGTTTGGAAACATCTCACAGGCTCTACGACTATCTTAATTTCTCTAATCCACTTATAAGATCGAGATTTGATCCTCAAGCCTGTGCTTGGGCATTTGGGATAAATGTGTTTGATCTCATAGAATGGAAGAAGGTGAATGCTACTGTGAAGTATCACTACTGGCAAGAGCGTAATGAAGACCAGAATCTTTGGAAGGATGGGACTTTGTCAGCTGGACTTCTTGCATTTTACGGGTTGGTGGAGCCAATTGATAGAAGATGGCATGTGATGGGATTAGGGTCTGAGTTGGATATCGACGAGAGGCTGATAGAGAGCGCTGCGGCTGTGCATTTCACTGGGGATATGAAGCCATGGTTGAGGCTGGGTATAACCAGGTATAAGCATCTGTGGCAGCAATATCTCAATTTAACGCACCCATATGTTCAAGATTGTTTTCTAGGAGTTTAAGCAGATATCAGCCACATGTATTTTTTTTTTAAAGTGAGCTCTTCTTGTGCTTGGAGCTTTAGCTTTATAGTATTTCTTTCTCTTCTAAAAGAATTTTGAGTGAAAAGCAGCAGTACATGTACAATCTTGAGGCATGGAACCGATCCTGCGCTATTCTTTTTTTTTTTTCTACCCTTGGTATCAAATTGTGTTTTGCTTGATGTCTTGAGAGATTGTGGACTTGGCATGACTTGTATCGTTGTCAATTCAACGAGCAGCATATCTTTACTTTTAGCATGATTCAGTAACGTTGCATGTTTCAGTGGTTCCATTAACGTTGCGGGGAATTGTTCAAAAATCGCTGTGGGCGGTTTTGCTTTAGAACTCCGAAAACTCCGTGCTCTCTGTAGACAAGTTGAAATAGGTATAAATACCGGTGCTGCTGAAATCTTACCTTCAACCGCAATTCCATCATCGGAGACGGAGAACGGATGACGTTATGCTCTTCGGTAAACTGGGTGGAGCTAACCCCTGCATTTTATCATACAAGCCCCCTACCCTCCACCTTCTTCAAAACCCTACTGCCCCCCGGTCATTTAAGTATTTAAATTATTTTGATCTTCGGCTAACAAATGCAAGATCAATTTTACTAATCTAGAGATCAGTTTTTCAGATTTACTGAACACATCAATGAGAAACCTCGGTTTATTTAAAAAAAAATTTTCCCGACACAATCTATTTATGCTCCAATCTTTTCTACTATCCTCATGTACGTTGTCCTTTTATTATCTGATCAGCATCCTATGAAATTTCCTTTCTGGAACCTTTTTGATTTCACGCGTATACATAATTAGTAAGCAGAGATGAATACGATGATATGAATACATAATTAGTAAGCAGAGATGAATACGATAATATCATATCGGATCCAAATCTCTATCTGTTTGCATCCTACTTCAGCATGTCAAGTGCTTATCAGCGGCACAGCACGAGGGAGAGATCATAGAGTAGCCCACAGTGCCAGTGCCGATGCAGGAGCATTTGCTGGTGACCGAGTGTAAATTCAGGGGAGTAGAGCGTGCTTGCAAGCGTGACGCATGCTCACAGCACACAGACACATGCAGGATTCATGATTAGAGGAGTGTGGTGCTAGCAACAGCTGCGAGTGCCCTTCACTCCCACTCGCACTGACTCGCGTCCTAACCCACAGTGCGAACGACCGTGGCTAGCGGTGTTCTGATTGGAGAGAAACAAGTGCAGTCCTCGTAAAAGTTGGTGCTGCAGTTAGGACGACAAAAATGTACTACATCTGAATGAATAAAACAACCGGGCAAACTCTATACCACAAAATAAGATTGTTTTTCTATACATACATTATTCAACACAAGGAGTAAAAACCCTGACACTCAGTTACTCGTTTATCAGCACGGTCATCACCCATGGCGGCTAACGTTTAACTTAACAAATTAATATTAGCTTCTCAACCGGGAAGCCTGCACTTTCTGCAGCTAACAGCCAAATCTCGCGAGCCTCCAATCAAGAGGCTTTAGTGTCAAGGTTACAAAGAGTACGAAAAGCCATGTATCACCAACGATGTCTAGAGATAAAACTTCTGAAAGATGCAAGATTTTCTACGTGTATAAGCCCAAAGCTATACCACCAAAGGATATAGGTGTAGCCACTGGCTGGAAAAAAAAATAAAAATAAAAATAAAAAGAGAAAGAAAGAAAGAAAGAACCCCAACCAAGAGTGACATGTACTTTACGACAACGGTTAAAACAGCAGAGGAATCATTAAGCATCCAAATTTACATTACAGGCAGCAGCTTTTCTTTCAAGCGTGAAATCAGCTTGAACGTCTCCTCTGCCCTTACCTGCTGATGAATATCAGACCTCGAGGCTCTGTCTGGATGGAACCTCAGCAAAGCTTGTCTATAGGCAGCATTAACCTGACAGGTAAGAAAATCTATATTAATTCAACATGCTACCAGTTCAACATACTCAAGTTTGCAAAACAGCCAAAAATCAGTATGCTGCATTCATGACGCAGGCATTCTCATAAGCCACATTAACACATGCTGTAATCCCCTCTTACTTTCGCTCATCTCCACATAAGGTTTGTCTACGCCCACTTCAAATTTCCATCGAGTAAGAAACTCTCCCAAGGTCTACGACCTTAAAATTTAAATCAAGCTCCTGAATTGCAGCAGCAGATTATAACACACCATCACATGCCTATAGCAAGGATTCAAATAGTATTCAAAAGGCTCTTAGCAGACAAAATGGTTTCATGGTGGTAGGTGGTGGTGGATACCATAGCATAGAAGAAGCCTAGAACACAAGATAACTAATTAACTATATAACAAACTTTAAAGCAAAGTTTTATTTATGACGATTGAAATTAACCATCTTTGTAGGTAAACAGAATCTGAATATTGTCATTAAGGTTCCTGTAGTATTCATAACTAGTCTAGATATGATGTGACAACAAATAGCATGTTCCAATCCTGAAGTTAATGACGTAGTACGAGTCCACCGATTTTTGGTCAAGATTTTAGTAGTATGGTGTCATGGATAGTAGTGCTCTTCAGAAATTAACTCCAACAAGAGAGGGTTGGCATGGCATGGTGATAAAACCTCGCTCCTGCTCTCTGGAAATTTCTTCAAACAACAATTATGTTTTGGATCTCGACCTTCTCAATGATCAAAGGTCAGGAATCTGGCTTAGTTACAAGGATGATGAAGCTCGATGTTGCATGGACACCCTACAAAGAAATAATGTACTCATCACCTGACACATACAGGATATGAGACGCTTGGGTGTAGTTTCAGGTACTTCCTAAAATGTAAAATGTATTCTAATGTATCCAAGAGGTATCAAAGTGAATATGAAATTAAAAACGCAATGCATGAATGACAAGGTCCAATTTCATTCATTATAGATACGCCTATGCTCTTTCATTTTTTGCAATGAATGGTTGACACTTGGCTAACTGTTGATTTTTATAGCTTAGAGGTTTACTTTACAATATATAACTATACTCTTCTATTTAACTATTTACTGTTTCTAACACACCCTAAAGAGAGTTGTATCATCCTGAATATTTAGGATTTGCCCATACCTCAGTTGCTTTCTACCGACATTCCGGTATCTACTAGTGCAAAATAAATGAATCATTCATGCAAATAAGAAAACCTGTGAAAGATCATGAAGATTCAAGACTTCCTTCAAACTTCAGCATCAAATGACAAGGAAAACAAGTACAATCAACAACTTACTCAACAAACTAAACTGAACTTTGAGGTATAGGCGTGCAGTAACAAACACCTAGCTGGATCAAGTCTGTTACTTAAAACCACCAACTCACACTAACACGAAACTGTGCCAAAGGTTGCGAAACCTACTTATTTAATTACTACAGAACTACTCATTTAGGGAAGGAAAGGAGGGTGGGAGGTGGTTGGGGAGGAAGTAAAGGGAAACATCAGAGAATGACCAATCATAATACAATCATTGTTAGATGCAGACAGCATTGGTGAAATTAACAAATTCATTATAACAAGACGAAAATAATTTATAGATGGCAATTATCACATTTTTTACAATGCAATGAAGGGAAAAAAGCACTAGCAAATCATCTATGAATGTTTGCAAGAGGCAACCTTACCTCTCTACAGGTAGATGTATTAATGCAAACTCATTGATGCCTTAAACTCAACAGCCCGCAGAAAGTCATGATTCATGGTCAAGCAAAAAGAGATGACATGCAACCTCATCTACTTGCAGGTTAATATATCCATACCAAACTCATCTGATATCTTAAACTCAACAGCTCATGAGGTCAGAAATTCACGACTTTCAAGATCAAGAAGCAGAAAGTCACGTGATATGGTCCATAAAAAATCAACAAGGTTACTAACATAACCAATAATCAGAAATATGCATCAATAATGATTCAACACCAGTAGTATCACCACCTCCACCATTGACACACAAGAAAACTGCTTTGATAAAAGTACATACCATAGTCTACCCAAATCCTGCATGGATTCTTCTATAATGGACCCATATATATTGGGCACGTATATATGACCCAACAGTTACTGCCTGGTCATCAGTGTTCTAATATGTAATATGAATTAACTGCCTTGTCTTCAGGCTGTTTAGCCTAAATCTTCAAAGACTAACATATCATTTCTTCTTTTAATCATCTCAATAGTAGTATTGTCAAACAGTTGAACCAGAAGGAAATCAAGGGGAAATAAATTCATTACTCAGGAATGGGCTCAACAGTGAAACTTACGTCACATGGCAAGGGAGAGGGAAAGCCATGTCTCTATATCTAAGTTCCATCGTTTCAAGCTCCTTCCTTACTTCAGCTCGTAGGTGTTCTTTCAAATTTGTAGTTTCCTCAACCTAACAATGGGCATCACAAATATTGTCAAGTTTACAGGGCACTAAGAACATATATGAATGCCTACTGAATATTAGATATTCCCAGATAAATAAATAAAAATGCCACAAAATATTTTGTAAAACCAGAGTGTTAATCTTGTGTAGAGAAATATTAAGCAATTGCACCTTCTTTTGAGATTCTCGGATTTCCTTAAGCCGCTGCTTTTGTCTTCTTTCCATGTCAAGTAAACGCAAAGTTTCCGCCTTTCTTCTCCTCTTCAGCTTTTGTGCTTCTTCAGCCTAAAAAGATATAAATAAAATGTCAGCAGCTGGTCATATATGCTTAAAGCTTTAACCATAGATTACTCGGTAATGACTCAAGAAAAAGTCCTATGGTTGGATTTCTATATAACAGGCAGCCTAATGCATTTCACTTCTTACATCAAAACATATCATAAATTATTATAGTTTTACATACCTCTGTCTAACATGATTTTGCACTAAAATAACATTTAATAAATAAACGAAGAAAATATACATCCATTATGTAATGAGTATAAAGTGTTCAAGGGGCATAAAAAATATGCTGCACCGTCTGATATTAAAAGCATATATAAAATCTAAATATATGTTCAGAAAAAGTCTAATAAGTACACAGGAAATGACCAAGTCCCAAAGTCCAGCACATGTTCAACATCGATTTGAGTTCATAGAGAAGTATCTATGCAACACGAACACAAACCGATAGAAACTTCACTTCAAGAGTCAAGACATACGATTTTCTTTGCTTTTGAGCTGTGTCTCTGTGCTAACAACTGCATTCTAGAGTACTTTAACTACGACCCTGTTACTTAATTACATTGAGTCCTTGATTTGGGATTATAAGCAAGTATCATCCTTAGCAGTTGCTATTGCAAAATTTTGCATCTATGCAAATTATAAGCTCCTCCTGTATATGCTCTGTAGTAAACATGACATAATTAGTTATGAGGGAATGTTTTAACTCTTTATAAGGCCATTCAGTTCATTGAAACTGTCTTATTTTCTTCTTCCTAAATATGTGATATATGTATATCTATATAGGAAATGTAAACATAATATGTATATAAAAATGTAAACACATATTTTGTACATACAATATATCATATAGTTACATAAACAATATATAATAGGAATTGATGACTAGGAGGTGGCAGCTCATTTAGCAAAATGAGCTACCAAGAGATGGAAGTGGTGAGACCCACATCTTTTGATGTGACAAGAATGGTGGGCCTCACCGAATGGCTATCTCTTGGTAGCTAATTTAGCAAATGAGCTATCATCTCATGCCTATTATTTCCTATATAATATGCTTGTATAAAGGTAAATACATATGACAACAACATATACTTACGATGACGCGCGCACGAACATCTATTAACATAAAATACAAAATGCAAATGAGATCATATGAGCATATTAACAATGGCGAAGCCCACATCAATCAAAAGGCGATCAAATATGACAATGTATAACAAATTTTCTTATGTATTAGTATGTGAAAGAAAAACCTAGAATAAAAAAAATTATATATATGTATATATATATATATATGGGTATGCTTATGCTTGGTACTAAGCACAAATTTTGTGCTCGGTAGTGATGTGTCACATCCCTATCCACTCCCATATGAATGTGGTCCCAAATTTGAATGAGTGGAGGGGATGTGACACCTCACTACCAAGCATACCCATATTTCTTATATACATACATATACATACATACATACGTACATACATACATACATACACACACACACACACACACACACACACATACACACATACACACACACATACATACATACATACATACATACATGAATGCTTAAATCATTTTCACATATCCACCAATCATTGAATCAAAATGCTTCAATTTTCTAAAGTTTCTTTTTGAAAATTTACCAATTGCAGTTGCTTTTCCCATAGCCCACAAACTGCAAAATGCAAACCCATAACATTCTAGTAATCAACTAATCGGAGATGTCCATATTTGACTTCAAACCCTAGAAAATATAAGAAGAAGAGAGGGAAAAACATGCTTTATTTTAATTGGGAATTAGGCATTATATTAACTAATTTATTAGTTGTGTCACTTTATCATTCTTATCCACAAGCTAGTTAGTCATTCTCATCCATTGGTCCACAACTCATTTATTTATATTTTTGAAATTAGTCCCTTCAATCAAAAGCAGAAGTAACAATTTGGGGGATAAATTTGAAAACAAGATTTACTAGAAATGGGGACCTAGCAAAAATTTCAATGATTTGAGGGTCAAATTTCAAAATATAACATAGAAAAACCCTAAAGGGTATATATATATAGTCATTACCTATATATGGTGGAAGCTAGGGGTCCATGGCCTCCCTCAGCCCCCATAGTTCTGCCAGTGAGTACATACATGTGTATATACCTTTTCTTGTTAGATTGCATAAGTATATGTGCAGTTTATATACACAAACGTGGACGCATGCATGTTGTAACATAGAAATATGTATTGTTGGCATCAAGGCGCAGAGGTGTCGCCCTTCCAGCACACTGTCAGTAGCAACGCTGGCCATCACGTGCTTCGCAAAATTATTTCAACTAGAGGGTGATTGTTGAGCTTCTAACATGACCACAACAATTGATTCAATATGACATTTGGACTTCTGAACTAATTTGTTTAATGGGCTCATTAAATAGACCAGCTAATGTTGTTAGTGCGCTAAGTGGGTGTAAACACATAAAATAGTTACAAACATTATTATATACAGTATGTTAATATGTATTACCTATAACATAGAAAAATATTGTATCGGGTTATATGGTGTGTGTGTGTGCGTCATGCATGCATGCGTACATACATACATAAATTGAGCTGCAAGATGAAGAAATTCCTTAGTGAATTTACCTGCAGGCTGCAGGAAATGCTATAGCCTTTAGAAATAAATTTGAAGCAACTATTTGAGGTACCATACTAGCACCTACTTAGCTACAAATGCAATTTTGCACCATATACTGTTCCTCCAATCAAGTATCGAAAAAGGAGAAATATAAGAAAAATAAAGATGATAAAGATGAGGACTACCAATAGCAGTTCTAGAACCCATGGAAAAAATGACTTGAAGGGCATAATAGAGGAGAAGAGAAAAGATAAAGAAGGGGAACTGATTGAGAAGAAAAGGGATAAATAAAAATCATGGAAAAAGGAGAAAGATAAGAAAAATGACTTGAAGTGCATAATAGAGGAGAGACTAATCACAGCGCTCGAACTCGTGTGAGCCTCCATATATTGTTGTAAGCCTGTTTCACCTTCGTTAATGTCCTCGGGAGGGACACAGGAAAGAATCAAGGTTAGAGGATTGCCCCTGATATCATGAAATATGACATATATAATTTAGGATTTGTTATAGAGATACACAAGTTTTATTACAGATGTTTGCTAAAGCAATTCAGGCTCAGATTGTAACTTGGGTGACAGCTACTTAACGATTCTTCTCATTTATCTTGCCTTGAGACAAGTAGTGAATGAACAAGACATTAACTCATTAACTCATTAACTTACAGAAAAGTTAATAAAAAATGTTCTAAGTAGAATAAGCCCATGGCTTTTGGTCTGCAGAATTGTAAACCTGGAGCCCTAGACCAACTCGGCCAGCACACCTGATGTTCATGGTTGAATATTACAATTGATTCAACTTAGAATTGATTCAACCTGTATCCAGGTTTCAGTTAGAACATTTCAGGCTCAGGTTTCCCAGGCCTAAAATGACCTGACCCGTTAATAAATATGTAGAAAAAGCATCCATGCCTATGACAAACTTAAGATTTTTTTCGCAGTGACATGCAAAGTTATACCTGACATGTATCGATGTTTGGATACTAGTGTATCGCGACAATATAGGTACAAACCCCATCCTTGAGGTGTCGATGTTTGTATAAAACACAATTTATATATATATAATATATATATATATAATATATATATATATATATATATATATAAGTATATAGAGAGCAGAGGAGAGACGAGAGAGAAATGGTATGCTTGTATCAAGCACAAATTTTGTGCTTAGTAATGAGGTTCCTATTCTCATCCATCATTCCAATTCCCAACACTCCCCAACCATGTGAGATATGAGTCCGATTTCATGAGTGGAGGGGAATATGTCACCTCACTACCAAGAACAAAACTTATGCTTGTAGCAAGCATACTCATATTTCTCATATATATATATTATATATATATTTATTATATATATATATATATATATAATATATATATATATATAATATGAGAATATGAGTATGCTGGTACCAAGCACAACAGTCGTGCTTGGTAGTGAGGTGTCACATCCCCCTCACTCATTCAAAATTGGGACCAACATTCACATGGGGATCCGCTTGCCCCGAAATGACCCGGCCAATAGGGAAATTCACATGGGTAGGGAGTGGATGAGGATGTGACACATCACTACCAAGCACAAAATTTGTGCTTGGTACCAAGATACCCATATTTCTATATATATATATATATATATATTATATGTATATCAAATTCTATTTGTTCTCATGAACCAAATACCAAAAACTGTTGTCTACTGTTAAATAAACTACCGAATCAAATACATACAAATAATTAGGCGAACAATAAACGAACTATTTGTTAATTGTTTGGTTTATTTCCACACGTATTCATCCCATCTATCCTCCTCTTTCGTCTACTCCATCCTACTTCTCTAATTGTTTTGCACCTCTAGGCGTTCTAGCCCTAGTCTGTATGTAGATCCACTTTATCTTTTATCTATTTATTAATTAATTTATTTTTTGCATTACATTACTCCAAATACACTATTGTCTCTCATCACATCCATCCATCATCCTCTTTTGTCTAGTCTATCCTACTTCTCTAATTGTTTTGCACCTCTACACGTTCTAGACCCAATCTGTATGTAGATCCACTTTTTTTTTGCATTAAATTTCTCCAAATACACTATTGTTTCTCATCACATTCATCCTCCTCTTTTGTCTACTCTATCTTACTTCTCTGATTGTTTGGCATTCTAGGCCCAGTCTGTATGTGGATCCACTTTTTTTTTTGCATTAGGTTTTTCCATATTAGAATAGACTATTGTAAGAATCAATAGTTAGCAACTCATTGAGTATAATTAAAACATTTTTCTTGCATGTTACAGTGTGTAACATCCAAAAAGCCTAGACAATTTTTTTGTCCTGAACCAGCTTATTCAGAAGTGAGGAAATAATCAAAGTGGTATATCGTTGTGATAGCTTTTGCCATGGATATATGTACATACAAGCATTTATGACAAGGACAACAGAATGGGCCTTGTCAGATGATAAGAACAGTACAATGGTTCTTATTAGAAGAATGGGAAACAAGAAAGTACTTAGCAACATTGAGAGTAAAGAGTACTTTTCAAAGTATATTTTAGAAAAGCAAACAAATAGCAACCTGGATCTGCAACTGGTGCTGTCTTGCAGCCCATTCTTCTTCCTCGGCGCGTCTATATTCATCAGACTCTTTGTGCCGCTCACGTTCAAAAATAAGAAAACTTTGTTCTTCTGGCTTATGCTTCAGTCCAGGATCAAAAGAAACACTTCTCCCCGGTGTTCCACTTCCTCCATTAGTGTTGAAATTGGGGAACTCCTTGTGAGTGGGTTCACCATTCCTGGTAAGCAGTGGACTATCAGAACAGTGATAATTGCACGAAGGTTGCTGATCCAAAGATGGTTTCTCTTTCACTCGACACCCAGCAGTTTCACGAACAACATATTCATACTGTGGTTGCATAGAAAATGAAGGTTGTTCGTGAAGATGTTTCCCTTTGTCTTGAATAGTACTGTCGGGTCTTAGTTGTTCTCCATCCTGGGATTGAGGATTGCATAAAAATGATTTACCACGATGTGATTCCACCTTCCCCGAATAGCTGGATTCACCATTATATCCATTAGCACAATAAGTGGTAGCAGTTGGAACTTGCTCGTCCTCACCTGAAGAACTGACATCATCATCATCATCATCATCATCTACTTTTGGGTCACGCTGCATGTTCAAATGACATACTGAACTAAACAACACAGTTTCTGGGTTTCGAAAATCGGATCTCAGATTGTCTGAATGGTTTTTGTATGGTGACTGTGCTCTATCGCCACATGTTTCAGATACATGTTTAGGTTCCTTATGACAAGTGTTGGTAGCCGGATCTACATCTGAGTCAGCTGTGTTCACATTCCTTTTACAAAAAGGTTCTCCAAGTTTAGCAGTGGCAGGTATATTGAATGAGAGGTTCTCCTTCCCACTGCTCAAATTGTTAGGGCAGCATTCAGATGGTATTTCTTTGAACTGATTTGAATAAATCTTATTTAAGCAAGTTTCAATATCGATCCTGCTACGAGATTCTTCCCCATTTGAGAATCTATTATCACCACTTGAGCCCGAGCCCGAGGCACCAGTCTGATCTCCCAAACCAAATGGATGCCTATACGACACTCTTTTTCTTAAGGCAGCTCTTTCCCATTGCTCACGAATATATCCAGAGTCTTCCATGATTTCACAGTCAGAGCTATCACTGTCAGAGCCAACACTTGCAGAGATGCTGGATTCAGAGACAAACTCAGACCTGTCATTATCAGACCAACTGCCAGAGGAACAACCTAAACCAAACTGATTGACAGAAGGACCAACATGACAATGCTTCCTCTTCCTCATATATTCCATTGATTCAAAAGGGAGCTTTTCCTTCCTACTAGTCATTGAGCATTCATCACCTTTTAATTCTTCAGACTTAGAAGAGTTGCTGGATGCAGGATGGAATTCCTTGCTTGTAGCATCAGCATGAACATTCATGTCATCAGCATCCCCATCATCATCATCAATGCTAATAACACCATCAGGGAAACAATTTCTTCTCGTCGTCCCAGGCCCTCTCGATTCCTGATGGGAAGTTTCTTCAACATCAACAATAACCACATCTTCTGGTTCTTTGTCAACATCAATAATTTCGATAGTGCCCCTAGTTTTGCACCTTTCCAGCACTCTTCTAACAGACTGGTTTCTTGGTTGAGCTTGACCCCTTGACATTCTCTGAATTACATAGTACACTGATTTATGGTTGTAAAATGATGCACTGTATAATTACTCTATACTATCTTCAGTCAATGACAGGTATCCGCTGTTATGAAGTATTATAGCACTCTAAACTCACAATACTTGGGACAAACAAACAGGTTCCTATTTGCCACTATTCAATTACAAAGACAAAATTTCCTGCAAAAAAAAAGAAAGAATAATCACTTAATCAGAAAAAGCAATCATGTAACAGTCAATAAGGAAGTAACAAGCAGCATTGTAAACAAAAATCAAAGAAATGACAGAAATAAATGCTAGAAACTAAAACAGTAGAGACTAAAATATATTCGAAGTTTGGCTTATGTGAAAACAATAATTCTTCGAGCTAATCTCAAAATCTACAGAAACAGGGAGTTAGTGAAGAAATTTTTTTGTTGCGAGTTAAAGAAAGAATAAAAAACATATTATAGTTAACAAGTATATTCACTTGGTCAGCAATTAGACAGCAATTAGAAGCATCAAACAAAATAGGGACACTTAGAAAATAGATTCACATGAAATCACATGAACATGGTGACTAGGCACCTACGAAAAACTGGATGGTTTGATCTGGATCTGTTGTTTTGCATATTTTAGGATTTGCGGAGGGTTTTGAGATGAAGTTTTATTGTAAGAGATTGTTTAGTGAAGAGTTATGGATCTGATTAAGAGTTTTGTTTGTGACAGAACTCTTCAAAAGAGCAAACAAACTAAGGTTTTCCGCAGAGTTTCTAAATAATTCCGAGTAAAATTACTAAACTAGCAATACAAAGAAAAAGCAAAAGCAGATTTCACATCTTTATTTGGATTTCACATCCGAATCGACCAATCACAGGTTTGGAAAGGCAGAACGAGCATTTTACCTCATAGGGAAAAACAAAAATTCAGCTGCAAAGAAGCATCGCCAAATACCTTTGTTCAAAGAAACAGCAGCCTTTACGTAAAAATTAAGAAGCCAAGTTATAAAGAAACTATAAATGAAAAGACACCCTTATCCAACAACTAAACCGAAGTAAAACGTGAGTATGTAAAGTAAAAAAAAACCCAGATTCCGTGTCGTTTGCTGCCTCTAACTGGAAACTACAAGATGTTAACCCCTTATGACTAGGTACCAAGCTCATTAATAATAACACAAAAAAAGATGGCAAGACGGCGCCTAGTCGTTGGGCTCAGTGGCGGAGACGGGATATTGTTCATAATTTCAAATGTCAACTAGAAATGCATGAAGTTCTAGGAAAGCAACACGCTGGTCAACTATGAATCAGGAGCGTATTCTTCACAACATCCTTGTGGGGATTTGAACAAATATAACAACACCCCAATATATAATTTGTTAACTTATCTTCACATTGACAGTATCCAAATTGTAGGCCTTCCCTCCTGCATGAACTGGCATTAGTTTTCTATCCTGAACGAAAATAAGACCAATAATAATGATAATAATAATAATTCATGTCAACCAGCATAGTGTCTATAGAGAGCGAAGAGAACCCAGAAAACCTCAAGACGCCATTAATTATTTTAAATCTAAGGAATTGAACAAGGCCCAATAAAGCCCAACCGAAATCTCGCGCATGCAATGCACAATTCGAAAACTAGGGTTTCTAAAGGCTTCAGAAGAATTACCCCCAAAATAAAAAACATAAAATAAAATAAAAAAATAACTACCAACAGAAAGAAAAACTAGGGTTTCAAATAAAAAGAGAAGGGGAACATACCCTGAGAGATGGAACAAAATCGTGGCTTTTTAGGGCCGGGGAAGATCTCTTGGCTTTCAATATCCCGCCCTCGACGGTTTCTTCTCTCTGCGCTTCCCGAGAAAAGAATTATTATTTTATCGAACTGGGGCAGAGAAATAAATAAAAAGATAGAGGAGGAGGAGGAGGAGGAGGATACGAGTTCGAGGATCAGAGAACGACATCAGGACTCGCACTCCCGCTACAGTTCCCAACCGCCCAATTCGGCCCACAGTTATGGGCCTTGGCAGGCCGTCGGCGTCAAACTCCGAGCCTGCTTTGTGTTTCTTAACGGGTGTAAGTCAAATTATTAAAACAATACGTACTATTCTAGAATGTCATGGATGAAATGGGACTTAAGATTTTACTTTTCGCGAGATTTCTCTTCTTCTTATAAAAGCACATTCTACGAGACCAACACTCTCGTTATCATTTCGACTGACTTTTTCATTTGACCTC